AAGAGTGCGTCAAACGGAAGAACAATTGTATGAAAATTGCAGTTCCTTCAAAACATTCTATATTTTAGGCTTCACCGATTCACACTGCCTTTCTCTTTGAAGATCCCAAATAGGGAATTTTCATAATAAAGAACTCTTTGATGTATATTCAAGATTTTATTGAACAAAGAATGCTGCGTAAAACTGCTTTACAAAATTGAAGGTATGAAAAAGCGCTAAAAATGTAAGCCAGTAGCTGAGGAAGCTAGTGTGACTTCAGAGGTGCCTCACACACCTCCCTCCCCACCTGACTTCATTCAGCTTCACACTAGCTAAGAATGATAAACTGACTCTCCCCCCTTTCCATTTGAAAGGCAGATTCACTCCCATACCACGAGTATGTCTGACCTTTACTTTTCTGTAAAACTAGAGGTAACAATCATTCTTACCCACTTCACAAGTCTGATGTAATGCTCAAAATTAGAAAGGATGTGAAATTTCTTTGTAAATTCTACAGGTCCACGTACTGACAAGATTTTATTAGTATTGCCATTACTGGATTGTTTCCCAAATCTTTTCTATCTTCTAAGCCCTTTCCCCCTTCTAGTTTTTCCACTTTGTACTTCGGTGCCAGGGAAAAGCACAATTAACTAAATAATCTTGAGAGCTAGATGCACCTAATGATAGGAGACACTCTGTGCAGATATCAGAAGAGCTAAGCTTTGATCAAGGATTCCTGGAAAGCCAAAGATTCAGTTGGCCTAGAACAAATTAGAGCTAGATATAAGAGCTAGTGAGTATAAGTTTCCCCATCTCCATCCCCCTTCTTGGGGCAAAGCCCCTGGGGTTGGATCTATGTGCTTTGTGAGAAGTCTTCTGAGAAGGCAATCTGGGGAGAATAGGCTCAGTTCCCAGTCATGTCCCTGTCCAGAGCAAGCACTCCACAGGCCAAAGGGAGCAGAGGCCAAGATAGCAGACAAAAGCTAGGAAGAGAACATGCTTTGGGACCATCCCTGCAACTGCCAGAGTGTGCCCTCTAATCATAGCAAAGCACTCTCAATCTGGGTCACACCACAAGGCAGAAGGGCACCTCATCACAGGCTTACTGGGATTCTTCAGCTCCCTAGCTTAACACACACAAGTGGATGAGAAAATTTGAGCCAGGGCCCAAGCTGTATTCACCAACGCCACAATCAAACTGGCCCTCCCAAATTTTCTCGGCCTTCCCAGTCAGTCCAAAGCTACTCAGAGACCAAGGACATAGAAACAAAACCCCTCAAGTTCCACACGGCAGCTGGGCTGGGCAGGATTCCCTAAGCCACAAACAAAATTGAGGCATACTATACAAGTACATATTGCAGGTTCTGACAGACATAGGCTGTCTCAGTGGAGGAAAAACACTGCTTAGTCTGCTCCCACCACACTGTCCTTTCACCTCCTCGCTGCCTCAACCAAAAGTCAGGGTGAACAAAAATTTTTTTCCAGGGCCTGCAGACCTCCATGCACTAAAGCTGAGCTGTGAAATGGCACAGTTGATCTTAAAAAGAAGTCAGTGACTGGAAAGGGAATTGAACCCAGGGGCCTTCCAATAAACAGACCCTATGGCTGCAATGAGGCTAGGCTCTGTATGCCTTCTGTGGATGTTTCTAGGCATTTGCAGTCAATGGGGATCTTGCCCTTTGTCTTCTCCCCAAAAGCATCTCTCCAAGTCCGGTTGGGTTCCAGTTCTCTTTTCCCAGAGGTGTTGGTGCCTGGACCTTAAAGGGTGGGTTCTGGAGCTCTGCTGGAGCTGAATGATGCAGAGGTTGCTAGGATACTGGTTGAGGGCATTTTCAGAATCCCTTGGCAGGGGGCTGGGAGCCAAAATTCTTGGGCTAGAATTTTGCCCCTCCTAGTAGCAAAAGCTTATCCTCTATCCAAAGGGGTCAGAGAGGAGGAAAGGGAACAAGGAACTTACTTGGGTAAAGCTGGGACAAATTAGAGAGGAAAAGTCCTGTTCCTTCCTTCTTACCCACTCATAGGAGCAGGGGAGGGAAAGAGGCTGTGCGAGTGGAGGGAGGGAAGGGAGATGGGGGAAGACAAAGGGAAGAGGCAGGAGAGGGAAGAAAAAAAAAGAAGTCAAAATGTAGAAGGTTCCACTCCTTTGGACTGCATTTTTTTTTCATTTTCTCCCACTCTTTTCTCTTTTTTGCATACCCTCAAAAGTCTGAAGGAGAAATGCCAAGCCTTTAGGATTCACACAAGTAAAAGTCACACTGCCAAGTTTATCTCTCTACTCCCCAAACTCCCTTTTAGCTGCTCTAGGGTGGCCTGCCATCTGGCTAGTAACATTCCCTTATTTGCCTAGAGATGAGTTAAATTTGAAAAATGCTTACCCATTTCACCAGCTAAATTACTGATGGAAGGGCTCATTCAAGCTACGTCTTTAGCCTGAGGGTTTGTGGGGTGGGAACTAGTAGGGAAAACACCCAACCATCCTAGCAGCAGTCAAATCCTTACAGGCCCTAGCACAAGGAGGCCATTCAGAACCCTGCTATTTTTCTTCATTCCTAGTACAACCAACCCCCATTCACATTCAGGAGTGTGCATCCTCCCCCATACACACACACACACACACACACACACACACACACACAGAAAGGCATGTACACACACCCAGGAACATACTGCCACACACCCTCACACAAACATTCCCAAAGGCTTTCTGGCAAGGGTCTGTCAGGCAACCAAAGGGGAAGGCTATGGTATTTCATGACACTACTTTGTCGTAATCTTGGCTCAAAGACTAGCCTTAGAGAAGAACCTTTCTCCCCTAGGGCAGAAAAGAAAAGCAAAAAACACTCCATTGCTGTAGTCCAGTTTTCTTCCCACATAACTAGGTAAAAAAGTATCTTAAGTAAAACTTAACCTTCTCCAGATACCAGAAACCTTCACCCCACCTCCCATCATCCCTTAATTAGGATTTCATAATCCTTTTCATTTGTCTTTCCAGTTCATCCTCTCTGATTTCAAGTGCCTATGGAACCCAAAATAACAGAATGCAAGAACTTAGAGGTCACCTGGTCCAACCTTCGCCAAATGCCAATGTTACAGGGAATACCAAACCCACTGAGGAGGAAAAAACATTACTCAATGTCAAACAGCCCCTGAACAGAGAAAACCTGGGTCTGTATGTAGCTGCTCAACCTAGAGCCTTTCCTCACTATCCAAAGCTGTCTCAAAAAGTGCACAGTCAAAACGTAAGCTTACTTTAGATAACACCACTGGAGCTAAGGTGGGGGAGGTGGGTGGTGCTGCTGTGTGTGGATGGGTTGGGGGGTGCACTTACCAGATTCTTTTTGCAAAGAAACAAGGCCTCAATTCAAACCAGGAGGCCCTCACAAAGGGACCAAAGAGTAAATTTTATAAGAATCAAAGAATCAAAGCCAGCAAACTTCCCAGATTATCCTTACAACCATGCAACAACCAATTAAAATATCAGCTTCTCACCCACACCAAGCCAACAAGAACACACCTTAAGGCTCAAAACCTCTTCTCACGCCATTAAATAATACTCTTCATGTCCTGAGTTCAAGACAATTTCAAGAGCCCCCTTCATAGCCCCTCTCCCATCACAGTCATTTCCAAAGAGATTGAACAACAGGATATGGAACTTGACAGCACAATGCCAGCAGCTTTGCACATCACACATGAGCGGTTGCCCACATGGGGTAGGGGAAACATGTGTGTGGACTTGTATGTGCCCTAATTGCTACATGAACTAGAAATGGCATTATTTCAAGTCAGATAAGCAATGGAATGAGGAAGACCTGCCTACCTACATTGGAGGGAGTGGGAGGGAGGGGATGGACAATTATTATGCACACTGGCGTAACAGATTTTTTTCCTGGCTTTGCCAAGAGCTTTCTCAGAGGAAAGAGAAATATAAAAATATTAACAATAGCAATAATAACAGTAACCACCATCACTACCATCTAATACAGACATGCAAATATTTGTCAAACTGGAATGTTGCTTCTAACTCATGTTTTCCTGAGCTCTCATCCTATTCCATACAGACTTTTTTTTGTGTGTGGAGGATGCTCAAAACACAATTTAGCAAGATACATACTTTCATTTTGTCATGGAAATTTTTCAGTTAGAGACCTCTGATCTTAAAAATCAAACAAGGAAGCAAGCAAAAACCACCACTTTCTCCTAAGTGCTAGCAAGTTCTATTTAAAACGTAGTTCAGGAACATTATTGCAAATGAGATTACCTCAAAGAGGCATATGCAAATACTACTATTCCCAAGGTGGGTAAAGAGCTGGCTGTTGTTTGGAGGACACACACAGAAAATTCCCAGACTCAAATCCAGTGGTACAATCTTTGGGAAAAGAAATCCAAACAGCTCTTATCAATGTCTTCTCTTGCCAATTCATAAAGATAAGAGGCTGGTTTTATGTCTGCGTAGATGATTCCAAAGAAACTGACATTCAATGTTTTAAGAAATGTTTTAAAGGTGGCTTCTTTCCAAACTGGAAACTGTGAACTCTAGACAGAAAATTGAGATTCAAGGGACACAGTCACCAACTGCCAGCTCAACGAACCCCACCACTTCACTTCTCAAATTCTTACTCCTCATTAGAGACAAAAAATCATTTTCCCTAAATTAATTCCTTGTATCAATTTTTTCCCTCTAAACATCCAGTACAAGACTTCCTAAAATGCCAAAAATCATCATGCTCTTCCCAAAACCTCCCCCTGCCCCCAAGCAAACCCAATGCACTCCTGATGGCAAGAGAGAATTCTGACTACAATTCCCAGATGGAATTTAAAGGTAATTTTCAAGAAAATCAGTTGACAACACAAACAGCAAAGCTACTGTTTAAAGACGTCACCGTAGATGGAGAATGCACACACATGCACTTAAATAGAAAGCATTTCTTTGTGAACAAATTTTACCCAAGCAATAAGCAGCTATACTCACAAGCATACTTAAAAGACAGACATGACAAAAGATTTAGGGAGAAATAATATACCAACGTCATACATATCACAGCGAGGCCATGTTGAAGCTCAAAACGTTTTCCCCCCGATTAAGAAAGCTTGCTTTTTCTCCCTCTCTTTCCCTGTTTCTGTCTCTCTTGATTTTTTATTTTTTTCTCGGTGGTTCTCGGGATGAAATCAAAGCGAGAGTTCGCAACAGCTCAGGTGGCTGGACTCCATTCAGCGCGTTCCCAGGAAAAACATGAGTATGACATTGACAAGCAGGAGAACTACAATCACGGCAAAAACGACTACAGTTTGCACATCCAGGGTCATGGTGCAATGCAGAACACTGTAGTGTTCCAGATGGGGGGCCGGCAGATTGGGAGATGTCAGTCTCTGTTCTGTCAGACTGTCCATACAGCTACCATGCTAGAAAGGAGAGGAGGAAGTCGGGTGGTTAGGGAAGGGCTGGGTTTGGCGCCCGAGTTTGGTAAGGGGGGCAAAGGGGAGGGGTGGGGACAGGGAAGCTTGCTTCCCCCCTTCTCAAGACTGAGCTGATCTTCTTCCCTAGCTGAAAAATCTTAGCTTGCGCTTAAGTCCGCAGAGTCCAGCATTCTCTCTCGGGCGCCACGGAAAAGGCAAAATACTGGCTTTCAAAGGGAATGGCGGGAGGAACCAGGGCGAGGTTCTCCGGCGCCTGTTCGGTCTGTTTATCCGGGCGTGGGTCCGTCTGCCTGCCTGCCTGGCTACCGGTCAGTCTCGGTCTCCCCTACTCCCTCTAGTTCCCTCGCTTTCCTAGCTGGTCTGCTTTCCTCGCGGGGCTCCCGGCTGCCAGCAACTCATACGAGACGATCCTCGCTGGCTCTCTCCCTCTCCTCTCCCCACCCTCTCCAGCCCAGAAGCCTCGTTTTTATTCACCGAGCTACCGTGGGCGCCTGCGTGAAGCTAGCAGAAGCGGACAGGCCAGATGGCCAATAGCAGGCGCAGCAGCGGGCGCGTTTGCTCGCTGGAGGGCGGGATTTGAGCCTGCGAGCTAGCCGCGGCAGCCAATCGGAGAGCCCAAGGCTCCCGAGGCGTCTCGCTCCATCTTGACTAGCTGAAGGAAGTTGCCTACTGCCATATTTGGCGTGGGGGGTGGAGAGCTTGTTGGGGGTGGATTGAAGGGAGAGAGGGAGGAGGGGAGGTGAAGGATTGGAAAAGAGGGAGGACGCGGACAGAAGTGGGAGGAGGAGAGAGGGCGTGGCAGGAAGGAAGGGTGAAGTGAATGAAGGGAAGATCCTGAGAAGGAGGAAGGTGAGATAGAGGTTATGATAAAGAGAAGGGTGAGGGAGTGCAAGGAAAAAAGACCGGGCAGAGGAAAAAGGTATTTTAAAAAAAGGGATAGGTAGGTGGGGAGGAGGCGTGCCTTGGCAGCCTCTTTGGAGCCTGGGCTAAGGCAGAAACAAAAGTTCCTTTTTGGCCACTGTGTAAATATTTACTTACAGGTAAGTCACAGTTAGCTATACAAATTCAGCAAACCTGTGCTGTAGACGAACCTCAAGGACACACTACAAATTATCCAAATCCGACTCTATTTGGCTTTCTCTGATATCCCTGGCACTCGCAGATCAAATTTCCTTTCCTATTTATGGGTTCTTTAGATTGTGACAGCTTGCAGTCTTCTAGCATGCTGGGTACTATCAAGAGAAGCCAGCTTTTCTACAGAACAGCCTCTACAAAACTTGCAATCTGTTTGTAATCACTCTGAAACTAAGAAAAAAGCCCTGAACCTGGAGACCAGGAGGTTTCAGATTTACTCTGAGCCCTACCTCAAGCTTGTTCTATGACTTTGGGTAACTCCTTACCCCTCTATGGGCCTCAGTCTCCCTTCTGTCACAGGAGGGCTTAGAACTATCTGAGAATTCACTGAAACGTCCTAACCCTCACTTCAGAAAAATACTTATAATTTCAGCAGGCCCCTCAAAAACTCAGAACTCCCTTACATAGAAAATCTCTAAGGAGCCTTCTTACTCATACATTCCAAGACTATAAAAGTGAACAGACAGATATTGGTGGAGAGGGGTCAGGAAGCTGGATTAGCCAGGAATAGAACAAATTAAGTTCTGAAACTCCTAGCTTACTATAGACTCTAAGACAAATGTGAATTGCTTTCTAATCTCTAGAAATCTTTGAGTCTAGGACAGACACCCATCTTAGCTAGAAGACTGGAAGTTCTGAATGAGTGCATGTCATAAACAAAATGGCCCCTGGCCCTGTAAGATAGAATAAAACTAAAAAAAAGAAAAGATAGAATAAAACTCAAAGGTTAAGTCCCCACTTTAAAAGTTTTGGTTCCAACACCACCTATGAATGATTCATGTCAAAACAACAAAAAATCCTGAATCAGACCAAGTTTCTAGATCTAACATCAATTTATAGAACACACAGAAGACAGAAAAGATGTTAAACATCAATTGAGGGATACAGACTATAGGAAACTACAGGACCAATGATCTGGTCCTTTAGTAAATACACAGGAATGAAAAAGAGATTGGGTGACTCAGGTGGAACTTGTGCATGTGTCATGCATACACATTTATGACATTTATGAAACAACTAGAAATTTGAGCAGACTGAATATTTGAGGATATTAAAGTATCACTACTGTTTTGATGTGATAATGATATTTGTAGCTAAATTTAACAAAATGGGAGGGAATATGGGTACATCTTTGTGACTACGAATTTGGCAATGGTTTCTTATATGTGACATGCAAAGCACAAGCAACAAAAGAAAAAATACATATAAACTGGATTTCATCAACATTAAAAGCTTGTGCTTCCTAAAAGGACACTATCAAGAGTATGAAAAGAGAACCACAGAATTGAAGAAAATATTTTCAAATTATATATCAGACAAGGAACTTTTATCTAGAATATGTACAGAGCTCTTACAACTCAATTATAAAAAAAAACAACCCAATAAAAAAATTGGTCAAGGATCTGAATTAACATTTATCCAAAAAAATGATCAATAAACACATGAAAAGATGCTTAACATATCTGCCATCAGAAAAATGCAAAGCAAATGCATGATATTTCCTACAGCATTATTTATAATGAGATACCACTTTACACCACCAGGATGGCTATAATTTTTAAAAGCTAGATAACATGTTGGGTAAGATATGGAAAAAATTGGAACTTCATAACACTGCTATTGGGAATGTAAAATGATAAAGCCATTTTGGAAAACAATCTGGCAATTCCTCAAAAAGTTAAACATAGCATTACCATTTAACCCAACAATTCAACTCCTAGGTATATACCTAAGAGAAATTAAAACATTTCCACATAATATCTTGTACATGAACATTCATAAGGCATTATTCATAGCATCCAAAAGATGGAAACAACTTAAATGTCCATCAGCTGGTGAATGAATAAACAAAGTAGCGTATCCATGCAATGGAATATTATTCAGCCATGAAAAGTAATGAAATACTGTTACTTGCTACAATATAGATGAACTTTGGAAATACTATGCTAAGTGAAAGAAGCCAGACACAGAAGGCCTTTCACTCCATTTATATGAAATGTCTGCATAGGGTAAATATTGTTTAATGAAGCTTATGTTTCAGTTATATATGAATATAAATGTAGATTGTAATGTAAAATGTATTTCTTATCGCAGATAAAGGTAAAAATAATTTGAAAGCCACTCTTCTGGATTATGTTGAGACAGATAGACAGATCCTGGTGATCAAGACAGTACCCTAATGTAAACAATAAGAATCTTTCTCCTTGGCTTTGAATGTACAATCATACGCTGTCTCTATTTCAGTAACTACCCTTCAACTCACTGTAGCCTGGCTTTTACCCTCATCATCCCATGGGAAGCTGGAACTTCTTGTGAATATAAACAAATGACCAACTTGTTGCTAAACATCATGACCAGTTTTCTGTCTTTATCTTAATTCTTGAGTTCTCTCCCTCTTGACTCCATTGATGTCTTCCATCTTCCTGAAATGTTCCTGTTGCCTTGGGGATACCATCCACATGACCTATCTGGTTATCCTCTCTTCCTGCCCAGGCTCTTCTTCATCCAGTTATTAAGGCCATGGTTTCTTGGGGTTCTAATCACTTACAATGAATGGTGGACCCATCCATTCTCAAGGCTTGAACTATCACCTACATTACACAATGATGCATCTCCTTTCAACCAAGTTATTGGACATCAGTGGGAAACAAAGCAGACACAGGCCCTTGCCTGTATAGAGCTTAGAACTCTCAGCTAATGACCCCAAATAGCTCTCCTGAACTCCAGACATGAATCTCCAATTGCCTTCTGGATATCTCCTAAATATTTCTCGAGAAAGAACCTCAAACTTACTAAGTCCAAAATCGAAATAATCTTCTCCCCATCTTGCCAGCTTATTCCTTCCCCTGAGTCCCCTGACCTTAGGAGTATTACACAAAGAACTAGCCAAAAACCAAGGAGATAGCTATGTCTTGCCTTTCCCTTACCTTGCTGCTAGCCAGTCTCCAAGTTCTCATCACTTTCCCTCCTTAATGTCTCTCTCAAGTATTCTTCCCCTCTCCCTGCTGCCAGTACCTTGAATCATTTCCTCATCATCTCTGATCTGTTATCATTCATTACTTAGTCTCTTGTGCTGCTCTCTCTCCCCAATACAGCCTCTACTCTCTTGCCCAAATCATCTCTTTCAAGAGCAGTTCTGATCTTTATCAAACCTAGTGGATGCTATAGATTGTTTCACATCCATGCCATCCTCCTAGCATGCATTCCTATATTGCTGAAAAGATAAAAACAACAGTAACAACCTGTCATTTCTCAGACTCCTTTGCTTCCAGTGTTCTGAGCATGCTTTATTCCTGTTAATCATATTTGGAATGAGATGATTATACAGAAGCCATATTTCTGCTGCTTCTGTTGGCAAGTATGGTGGTGGAAGTCTTAGGGTCACTGGATTTTTGCATTAGGGAAACAAAAGATGAGACTTTTTTTGTTCCTTTGCCACAGAGGGCCTGGCAAGCATGATAATACTCTAGTCAATAGTGAAGGTAATGGCAGATTCCTGATTTATAGATCACAGGTAAGGTGGAATATTTCCAAAGATCCTAATGCTTTATCTTCCTGCTTGTGGCAGAGAAAACAGCTCCCCTGGTGGTGTTCTGGGAGTCATTTCTGGAGGCCTGGCCTAAAGCTTGCCCCTCCAGCCCTTTCACCAATTTGGAAAGCTCATGATTTTCTGTTTTAAAACTCTTTCTGCTAAAAATTACTAGGGAGATTTAATTTCTGAAGCTGAACCCAGATTTATATAACTCCTCTGCTGAAAGCCTTTCAGAGCACCCTACCACCTTAAGGCAAATTCTGCAGCATGGCCATGCAACACCTTGTCAAACTAGTGTCCTTTGGCCTTTCTAATCTTTGCTCTCACCAATGCCCTCTCATTTTCTATTCTCCAGCTAAAAAGAACCTACAGTAGTGCTCATAATCCACCCCAGGTTATCTTGCCCCAGGACCTATGTAACTGTTGCTATCCTTCCCCAGCCAGCCCCCACCTTAAAGCTCAGCTCAGGTGCCACCTGCTCCAGAAGGTTTTCCCTGATGTTCTCCCCCAAAATTCTTCCCCATAGGACCCTGGGTTTACTCCTCTTGGAATACTGTATTGTAATGTGTTTTTGTTTTTTTTTTGGTTGTATCATGTTCTGGGCTGTGGAGCAGAGGACAGACACCATGCCTGTCTTATTCACTGCTTTGTGCCCCATGCCCAGCAGTGACTGACACTTAGCAGGTGCTTCATAAGCATTTGTTGAGTGCATGAATGTCTTCTTCATCTACTTGTCTCTACTCAGAGAATCATGTCTTCCAACCACAG